CTCAATCCACAGTTGTGTGTGTTCAGTGCTCTTGATCTGGTCCCTGCGATAAGAACAATTGCCCCTTTCATGAAAGTGAGTGAGAACGCCATTGTGCACAGAGGGGCTTCATGTGCTCTTGCACCTTCAGGGAGCATTTGGATTCAGGCACTGATGTGGTGTCGTTTTTTTGCGCAAGCTGTTTTAAAACCTGGAAATATATATTTTTTTCCACTGCATGTGACATTTTCTTCCAGATGAGCTTCAGATGTGGAAAAAATCCCAATGACCTTACCTTCATGGTTTTTTAAAAACCTCAAAAATTGTTCTGCCTTTTTTTAAAGTCAGGAGAGGGGAATCTGTGGGCCTTTGGATATCTTTGGACTACATCTTGCAACATCCCTGAGGTGAAACAGGAATGTGCCTTCCTCTGCCCACCCACCACTACGGAAGCGATGGTGCAGGAGGGGTGGGAGAGATGCTTCACCCAACCTCATGGGTGGGCAGGGTCTGGCTGGGGCTGATGGGACTTGGAGTCCAACAACATTTGGAAGGGCACCAATTCCCCTTCCCTGATTTGATTCCAGCTAATCTGTAAAGACTGTAACTTTAGCCTCATGTCCGAGTTTGCTTTTTTCCTCCTTCCTACAAATCCCTTTTTCCTTTCACGTCATGTCTTTTAGATTGAAAGCCTGAGAGCAGGCCCTGTCTTACAGCTGATTTTTGAAACCCACTCTGGGAGCCCTCCCCCCCCCTTTGATGAATAGGAGGCTAAAAATGTTTTAACTAAATACTTAAAAACAAATTACTGCCAGATATACGCACTTGCTTTATTTATTTATCTCTTTCTCTGCTAGCCACTCAAAGTGTTTCTAGACTTCCTTACTGTTATTCTGCAACATTTAGTTGATTAATAGTGGGATTAAGGGATTCAAAATGTTTTGATTGATTACTCAGGGACATTGTTTAAGGCTCATTGGCTTCCTTTCTTTTTAAGATTTCCCTCAAGACAGCAGTTCTAGAATGACAGACTTAGAAGGTGTAGGTTTATTTGAAGCAATGTGACAAGAAAACATCCTTTGTTCTTAGGGATGCCCTGTGTGTACTGAAACCTCAACTGTCACCTAGTGGCAGCCATTCATTCAGACTAGCTGAACTGTTGCATTCCAGCTAGCCTGGAAAAACTTACATTTTCAGCTGGTGGATGAACTTGTTCTTTTCCTCTTCCATCTGCACCTTGTTTTCCTTCTGTGCTGTGCTTTTTATATTGAAAGCCCGAGGCCTGCCTTATTTACAATATTTGAAAGTGGTGAGGCACTGGTAATTGGCAAATGTCTCTATGAATGTAATGAAGAAACAAGAATTTCAGGATCTTCATGGAAATATGAGATGATATTCAGCATTATGGACAAAAAAGAGCACATATTATTAGAAGGAAAAGCCATCTCTAGTATTTTATTTTGTATTCCCTAACATAATGCATCAGAGCAAAATAACTTAAGCCAATAAACAAATGTGCCCTTAACTCTCAGCTAATGCCAACTCATTGAGGTTAGAACTTTCTGATAAATCAGTTAGTTTTTATTAATAGTACAGTGGTACCTCTGGTTACGAACTTAATTCGTTCTGGAGGTCTGTTCTTAACCTGAAACTGTTCTTAACCTGAGGTACCACTTTAGCTAATGGGGCCTCCTGCTGCTGCCGGGCCGCCGGCGTGCGATTTATGTTCTCATCCTGAGGTAAAGTTCTTAACCCGAGGTACTACTTCCGGGTTAGCGGAGTCTGTAACCCAAGGTGTTTGTAATCTGAGGTACCACTGTAATAAGAAATAAATTATTATACCCCATAAATCTGGCTGGGTTTCCACAGCCACTCTGGGTGGCTTACAGCAATACAGTAGAGGAATCAACTATGAATATTCAAACCACAGCCCTAATTTAAAGCACAGAAGATTTGAGTCCATCTAAGATGGTCAAATAGATGCCATCATGATGGAGTGGCATGAAACAAGTGAGATGTTATTGTGACACCACAGTGGTGCTTTTACAGTCATTTTGTATAAGTGAATGAATGATAGTCTTTGTGTCAGTTGCAATAACTAGAAGCAGCGTAACCAAGCTCATTACACATATTGCCGCCATGTAATTAGCAATTTCATATCACATTTGATGTTCAAGATTAGAAAACTGCTAAGTCACTTAGTTTGCTATTCTTTGGTTTACAAATGAATAGAGAGAACAGGAATGATATTGTGAGTGTATTGTTTAATATCACACAGAAAAAACCAGACATTCCCATTCTTGTCCCATTGGCCATTAGGTACAGTGAGGCAGCTACCTCAGGTGGCAGATGCTTGGGGGGCAGGAACTGACAGCAAGGTGTTAAAGGACAGATCAGTGTGTGGCTTGTGACCTACCCAGCACCCTCTGAGCTAGCCTGCTGCCCTTAAATGTGATGGAGGATTCAGAGTCATCACCAGTGTTGAAGATTCAACTGTTAATCTGCTTGGTTTGAGGCCATCACTTTCTCAATCAAATTAGAGCTCTCCAAAGCGGTTCTGAAGTAAATAAAAATATATTGGGCAAGCTGATCATGAACTACCTCCCTCACATTTATTTTGGAAGGGCTTGCGCTAGAACCCAGTGTTTTGTTTTGTTTTTAACAAACTTTTTTCTTTGGAGCAGTCGATCTCCACGTCACATCCCAAACTGCTTTTGAAATGTCTGTCACTTTTGAAAGCGACTTGCCATGAGGCATGTGGGACGCTGTGCTTTGATTAGATTTCCCGTGAGCACACGGAATTCGTTTTATTGTTCTTTGGGTCTTTGCCATTAATTTGTTCTCATCATTAATGCTTCTATTAATTTTTTCATTTTGCTTAACACAAATCACAGGTAGGAATGGCAGAAAGGGTGAGGGACAAGGAGCTAAAGGGAAGTTACATAAACCTACAAACACTTTCCAGTTCACAAAGTTGCTTGAGCTATATCATATGACAGCATGCAGACTTTTGCGGCAACAATCTAACACAGTCACTACTCTGGAATTTATCACATGACAAGTCTTCAAAGTATATAGATATAAATCTCTGTGTGTAATCAGACAAACAATCAGTTATGCATGGACATTTTTGTTGTCTGAGCTGCTTCTGAGTACTATGTTGATATGAGGTCTCTGGGAGAAGAGGAGCTGTAGCCTCTACCTGCCTATAAGAACAGGCTGGTGTGTTTTCCAGTCATAACATTTGGTGGGGCAGGACTGAGCCCCCAGCAGTCGTATGGAGGCCATTTTAAATCTTGAATAAAGGTTTCTTAATGTGGAGTCAACTACGTGTAGGAGTTGGTCACAATGAGTTCCCACTCCTTAATATGCATCCAGATTTACCAGCCATACAGAGTGTATGATACCCCACTACCGTTTCAAAAATAGCTCCAACCCTATTTCCACACCGAAATAATCCTGATTAGCTTGTGAAGACTTTCCTGTACCTTTAAAAGCTGCATAGAAGGTAGACAAGTTTGCCACCCCTGAATTCTGCATCACTGTGATCAAAGTGATGACACTGTGTCACAACTTTTACTGACACGCAACGGGGTCTTGCTTAGATTTATGAGCTTGCAGACAAACATGGATACAGCAAAGTGGCTCTGGCCCACAGTTTAATGCTTTGATTTAGAACTTGGTCAATATAAAAAATTTTCCCCTCAAATGCTTAAAGCATCTTTTTTTATCATTTATAACAACTCTCATATATTACGTAATTCAACACAACAGCTGTCCTGGGCTCACAAGCCACAGTACTGAAGCAAGAAAGATAATTGAAAAAGGGATAGGATCAGTCAGGAGAGCATGAGACTCTTAATCTCAGGGTTGTGGGTTTGAGCCCCACATTGGGCTGCCCAGACGACAAGACCCCTTTCTTGGACTTCCATTCAGCTTCTGGAACATGGTTGATACAGTCAGTTCGGAGTCCATTAAACAATAATATTTTGCTCCATAATATTGCCTCAAAGGCTTTACCCAAGAATGAATCTACAATAGAGCATTCCCACCACATTTGATAATATGTGACCCCAGTGGCGGGTTTCTTTTGCCATCTTCATGGTGGCTCTCTGGTATTAAACAAGGCAGTGTATCACGTAAGTATCCTCTGTGGTGTAGTGGTTAAGAGTGGTAGATTTGTAATCTGGTGAACCAGGTTCGCATCCCCGCTCCTCCACTTGCAGCTACTGGGTGACCTTGGGCCAGTCACACTTCTCTGAAGTCTCTCAGCCCCACTCAGCTCACAGAGTGTTTGTTGTGGGGGAAGAAGGGAAAGGAGAATGTTAGCCGCTTTGAGACTCCTTCGGGTAGTGATAAAGCAGGATATCAAATCCAAACTCCTCCTCTTCCTCCTCCTCCTCCTCCTCCTCCTCCTCCTCCTCCTCCTCCTCCTCCTCTTCTTCTTCTTCTTCTTCTTCTTCTTCTTCTTCTTCTTCTTCTTCTTCTTCTTCTTCTTCTGCGTTCCCTAAGGGCTCCTCTCATATTATGTAAGGAGCTGTACACCTTGTCACATGGAAGGAAAATAAATTTGTTAGAGAAAATGAGAAATACTATATTTTGACATTAGACCTCTTGGTGGTCTATAATCCCTTGGACATGCCTGAAGTATATTAGCTCCAGTAATTCTTGCTGCTAGGTGGCACTGATTCCATTATATAAAAAAACTTTTCGAGATATACTCCTGATCCTTTAACCACTATCTGGAGAGCAGAAATGGTCTCCAAAGAACGCAGGAGCTGGTCATCCCTGAACATCTGTAGGAATTAACAACTTGGTGTAAGATAAACAGCTACACCCTCTGTGAAAGGTGCAAGATTGCTCCAGAAATGCCTGAGAGGCAAAAGGCCATTGCATCTAAGCAAAGCTGTTAAAAATCCCAGTGGATGTAGAAAGTGAGAGGCATGAGTCATAAGCACATGAGCTGGAGGGAGGGAAAGGAAAGCCAAAGACACAAAATCATGCATCTCTCCTTAATGCCATCACATGATGAGCCCTGGGGCTTTAATTTAATCAGAAGGGAGGAGGGCAGCAGGCAAACTTTATTCCCAGTTCTGTTCTGAAGAGGTTTGGAGAAACAGCAGGCTGATCCATGCAAGTTCTGTGCTTGTGAGTCCAGCTGTGCATTTCCAGTTATGAAGGGGGCCTGCCTCTTCTTCCTCCTTGGATACCTGCTTGCGGCTGAAGGAGTTCAGTCTGCTGTGGCCACCAGACGTGAGTGCCTTGCTCCCCTTCTCTATGCTCCCTAGCACAGCAAAAATATTACTTGCAATAGCACTGTTCTTACATCTTTAAGAACAGGTTGATCTGTAGGAATAACAAGTGAAGCTCAGAGGTAAGTTGAAGCATCCAGATCAAGAAGCTAGCAGCACAAGATCAAGGGTCAGGGCAAATGGGGGCATCACCCATTTGCAGAGATGGAGTTTTAGGAAAGATGGTGATGCTTTCACCATCACTAGACCTGAGCTATACCCACTTACTTGGGGGTATCAATGAGCTCAGTGGTTACTTCTGAGAGGGTAAGTATAGGATTGCACGATTGCATTCCATATTCAAGATCACTTAGTCCAGATTAGAGTGGCTGGGGAAACCCAGCCAGATGGGCGAGGTATAAATTTAAAAAATATATGTTGTTTTTGTTGTTTTTAACCTCTATTAACTTTTAATCAATTACTCTGGGTAATGAGAATTTCCCCTTCCTTTCCAATGCTTTCTTACAGGGGGCAGGGGTTCTGATTCAGACTTTTGAATTTGGAATACAGGAGGGGAATTAACCCTTCTGAATTAATTAACATGGAGTGTGAAGTCTGCATGTGGCGTGAGCACGATTTTATTTCTGAAACTGCGCTCTCCAGACTTCATCAAACGTTGCTGAACTGGATAAGTGATGGCATTTTGGTTGGTTGCAGAGGTATACACTGCATACCAACTCCCTCTGCCTCCTGTAGCAACAGAGATTGAGGGAGACAACGCTTCTCTTGACTCCGCCATAGGATACGGTGGTGTTGCCATCTTTCTTTCCAGCAGGGCTCTGGTGGACCCCTCACTCGGTGATGCCCCTTAGGGACTGATTGCATACTACATACTCACGCATGTAACCACTTGTTTTATTCTTGATGTAGTTCAGCCATTTACAGAATCATAAAATTGTAAATTGGAAGGACCCTAAGGAACATCTATCCCAACCCCCTACAATGCAGGAATATGCAGCTGTCCCATATGGGGATCAATCCTGCAACCTTGGCATTATCAGCACCATGCTTTAGCCAGCTGAGCTATCCAGGCACACTGCTTAATGCCATCATTTCTAAGCAGCATATGATAAGGTTGCCAAAAGGGATACCACTTTTATAAAGTCATGCCCCAGCAGCATTCTTCTGAAAAATGAAAAAAAGGAAGAAAGGGGGAGGATGTTAAAATGGCAGAGGGGTTGCACTGCTTTTCCCGCTCCAGTTTCTCTCCCTCCCACCCCATGTGTGAGAGTGCAAGCACACACTTTGAACTTGGAGTAGGGAGGATCTCTTGGGGAGCAAATTTTGTATCTGTGAAATTGGAAGTGGGGAGAAAGCAGAGCAGCCCCCTCTCCTGCCACTTCTGCTTTAAAACAATTGTTGGGGCATTGTTGCACACCTTCGTCCCTAACATGTCACTTGCCCCTTAGGGACATGGATGAGTGGAAGAAGGATTTGGGCAAGCTCTGTGCAGAAATTACAGCAATAGTTAATATAGGAGTGCAGGGATGATATGACTGCAAATTTCCTTCTTTGTCAACCCTACCTCTCATGTTCAGAGTTGATTTCATCGCTTGTCTGGCCCTGATAAGAGAGACTGGGGATTTATCAGCGCTTTAGTGTTTTAATATGAAACCAGACGTGTGGAATGCAGGGCCTATAGGAACAAGATACAGCTTTGCATGGTGCAAGAGAAAACATCGTTTCCCTCTTTCTATGTGTGCTGCACATGTGGAGCTCAGGATATGGAGAAGGGCTCAGTGGTAGAGGATCTGCCTTGCATGCAGGTCCTGGGTTTGATCCCAGGGATCTCAAGGCAGGGCTGAGACAATCCCCTGTCTGAAACCCAGTCACTGTAGACAGTACGGAGGTAGATGAGCCTGTGGTCTGACTCAGTATAAAGCTGCTTTTCTGTTCTCAAAACCTAGGGTATTATTGAGTGTGCAATGTGAGCATATTGGGAAATTGACATGAGCTGGGTGCTCTGTGCCCTGCAGGTCTTATTGGTGCCAGTAACACCGATTCAGCTCTCTTCTGGGGCACACAGCAGCCATGGGGAAGGGGGAATCTCGACTTGGGACCATGACCAGGACAGAGTTCAATCCTCCCTCTGTCCACACCAAGGTCCCAGTCTGGGTTGATCTCTCCTGTGGTTGCTATTGATAAAAAAACCAACCCACTACATAGCCACATATGAAGCTTCCAGATACTGGATCAGACCATTGGCTCATCTAGTTTAGTGTCGTTTACATTGACTGGCAGCAGCTCTCTTGGGTTTCAGACTGGGTCCTATCCCAGCCCTACCTGAAGATGCTGGGGATTGAACCTGGGATCTTCTGCATTCAAAGCAGATGCTCTCCAACTGAGCTACAGCCCTTTCCCCAAGGTGACCAGGAGGGGATTGTGAATGTGCATATGGGTTGTGCACGCTGAATGCCACGCCTAGTTTGACCATCAGATGTGCAGGAGGAATGTGCTCAGAACTTCTGCAAAATCTGTATGCTCCTCCTGTGTCCTCTGAAACCCTGAACGCCAAATGATTCCTATCTCTCTGAACCAGGGCTGTGTCGAGGGAGCACAAAGAGCTCTTAAGTTTGCTGTTTTCTCTCAAGAGGCAGCCCATATGCTTGGAGCAGAGAGGCGAGTCCAGGAGGGCGAGAACAGTTCTCAGCCCAGCCTCAGTTCTAGGATTGTTTAGTTTGACGATCATGAGATCAATCAGACTTTCTTCCAGGAAAGAGCATAAAGGGCTGGGCTTATGAGTTGCAAGCTCAAGATCACTTGACACAGTTAGGGTGTCTGCTACCTCCCACTCTCCATCTTAAGACCCTTAGCCACATCTCTCTCTCTCTCTCCCTCTCTTGCCCACACACTGATATATACAACCATCTAGGCTGATGTCGCATTCTAAAGAACTTGAAACCATGCGTAGGACTTTTTAAAATACTATTTTAAGGTTGGCCTACTAGAGCTTGACCTACTTTCTTTTCATGGCCCAACATGGCCGCCATGACTTCTTGTATGACACAGACTGTTCTCCAGTTATGGTTTTCACTAGGGGCTGCCACACAGGATGCCTGCCTGGGGTTCTTAGTCCTGGGCCTGGGGGTCTTGTAAGGTGTAGGAGAGCACCACACCTCTGTCAATCATGAGCCAGGTGTGAGTTGGCACATTGCTGCCAATGAGATGTCAAAGACAGGCTAGCTAAGTAAAAATATGATTATAAATGAATAAATAAATTCCCGACCATTCCAGTTGGGGAAACGATTCTAATCCACATTAGTGATTGTGAATACAAAACCAAGTGGAATGGCGATTGCTCCAGGTGAAAATAATTTGGAGTTACACATTGCATAGAGTCAGAACTTGCAACTCTTTCTGAACTATTCACCGTAATGTTGGCTGTTTTGATGAACAAAGTCTCTCTTCATCTGGTAGCAATTTATTATTGCTCTTTCATAACAAGGGGGGAAAAACTGTCATAGGCATTCTTTCCTTGTTGTTGAGGCTGACACAAGTGTGATCACTGTACGAAGTGTCTTGAAGTTCGCTAGAAATGAGCACAATCTTTAAAGGAATTTTTCTACGGCATTCATCCACTAGGCCAGATGATGTGATTAACAATTTCATTTATAATAAGCGATATTTTTGTACCAGTAAAGTAAAAAATCCTATTATTTGACTCATGCATTTTTCAAGGGGGGGGGGAGTGGGTAATGAAGTCTCAGTCTCTATGAAGTGGTGGTGAAGTGGAGTTCAGACAGCCTTGAGCTAATTATTTGGTAAGTTATATGTGGAAACTCAGTGGGGAAAATGTAAGCACAACATTCTGCACCCCCCACAAAAAGGCTTGCTTTTGGACTGCACTTAGGGAGGTATTTAATAATACTAGCCCTACTCAGAGTTGACACATTGAAAGTAATAGACATGACTAACACAGGTTCATTGGGACGCAGGTGGCGCTGTGGGTTAAACCACAGAGCCTAGGACTTGCCAATCAGAAGGTTGGCGGTTCGAATTCCCTCGACGGGGTGAGCTCCTGTTGCTCAGTCCCAGCTCCTGCCAACCTAGCAGTTCGAAAGCATGTCAAAGCGCAAGTAGATAAATAGGTACTGCTCCGGCGGGAAGGTAAATGGCGTTTCCATGTGCTGCTCTGGTTCGCCAGAAGTGGCTTAGTCATGCTGGCCACATGACCCGGAAGCTGTACGCCGGCTCTCTCGGCCAATAAAGTGAGATGTGCACCACAACCCCAGAGTTGGTCACGACTGGACCTAATGGTCAGGGGTCCCTTTACCTTTACCTTTACTCTGAATAGGACATCATAGCATATAATCCTTAAGGACCAACATGAAGCAGAAACATTTTGTGAAGTCTCCACAAATAAATCAGTGGTGTCTGTCACCATCATTGATTTCAGGTGCTCATGTTTGTTTAAACCTTTATCACAGGTTTTTTTGGCCTGGTGGAACAGATATTTATCTCTCTCTCCCCCCCCCACTCCATTGGCCAGTTTTGGCAGCTGGGGGTCCCACCAACCTATCACAATCAATTAATTTGGTAGGGAATTTGTTTCACCTTTGCATTCCTCACAGGAAAGGTACTGATGAAGCTGTTCTGTCCACAACTCCCCACACATCAGCTGATGAGTTTAGACTTCAGTTCTGCTTTCTGCAGGGGACTCCGCCATCAGCACATTCCCCGAACAGAAGGAACTGGCAAAGCAGCACCAACTCTACCCCTTGACCATTAGGTGATGTCACCCAGTGACACCGGATGATTGACGGGTGGGCAAGGGGAAATGTCCTTGCAGACCAGATTGGTGGACCAAGATTGGCTCATATGCTAGAGGTGCCCCATTCCCCATTTAGAAGAACCAAAGAATCACTAGGTCGTAAGAACTTCCCACATTTTAAGTTTAGCACCACATTGTATCAGAAGCTCTGGAAGTTAAAAACATCTACCAAAAGCTTTTACAATAATGGGAACTTTTTGAAACCTGAATGAAAATGCAAAGCAGTTGAGCGGAAGGCAGGAACATGCAGCAATCCCATCATATGATGCGCGATTATGATCTTCCGCAAGGTGTAGCCTTAGAAATGTCCTGGCTCCTGGCTCAGATTCTGCTTTTAACAAGTGTGTTCTTGCTCCACTGCAACGCACAATTAAGGCAGGCTATTGATTAATTAAGCCATCTCGAATAACATGACAGGTAAGTCATTCCTTAAAGACCTGTGGCAGGGATGTGAAAAGGATTTCTCAACTCTTTACCAGCCCTGCTCACACGAAGCAAGATTTATTTATTTATTTATTGCACAGAAATGTCTGCTCCATCCCTCTTGTGCCTATGCACTACTCAGAGGGGCTTATGGCAATTTAAAATGAAACCAAATCAGAGGGTATGCACTGGTACCCCTGCAAACTCACCACATTGTGATTGTGGCGCATGGAAACAATACATTGCAAGCAAAGCTTACAAGGAGAGTTTGTGTCATAGTATGAGAACCTAATGGCTCAGTTGGTTCAGTCATGGTGCTGATAGTACCAAGGTTGCGGGTTCAGTCCCCGTATGGGACAGCTGCATATTCCTGTATTGCAGGGGGTTGGACTAAATGATCTTCAGGTTCCCTTCCCACTCTACAATTCTATGAATGTGAGCTGTTGTTGTGCTTCCTATGATTTCACTCATCGCAGTTATGTAAACGTGGACACGTGTCAAACATGTATTATTTAAACTTCTAAATATAATTTTGTAATGTTCCTTCAAACATCCAGCTGCAATTGGTTTCCATGCAACTGTTACTCATTTACAACCCCAAAAAAACATTTGTAGAGTGTTCCTGAGAAAGCAAAGATGAGCATTATAGAATGTTCATTCATTCCCCTCTGCATTTACAAAAGTCCTTTTTAGCCTTTGAACATACCACAGGCAAAGGAAGAACCTCAGAGAGTTATAGCTTAGACATGTGCTTTCTTTGCAATGTTTTGTTATGGGGTTTGCCTTGGCAGTTCAGTGTATGTCAAATAAGTCAAAGGGACTGTGCTAACACTTTCTCCCTTGTTAACGCTTCTTTCTAGAATTTCGAGATGTGATGAGTCGAGGAAGGGCACCTTCTCACGCCAAGTTGCATAGGGGGCTAAGCAGCTGGTCCTCCGATCACAACAACTGGAATGACAAGCTTTACCCATATTGGGAAGAAGGAGATCCCAGATGGAAAGATTGCTGGAAAGGTAAAACATGAAAAATCAGTCTGGCTCAATGGGAGGAGATGCAGGGTCAGTATGTACGGTAATAATGTTGATGACACATTGCAAATAGGAACAAGGTCAGAACGATATTTTTGTTCTGCATTTAACATTTAAAATGGCTCCTATTTTTATGCCAACACTTAGGAATATAGGAAGCTGCCTCAGAACTTTTCGGCTTTAAAACCTGTTTGTATATGTGAAAATGTTATTTATTGTCATTTCTGAATTATCTGGTCTCTTAGCTTAATAGTGGTGTTTCCCCATCCATTTTTGGTGCCATACGCAATTGCTTTCTTTAGTTTTCTGAATATTTTTTAGAATTCCCAGTGGGTTAACAATCTAGTCCCCTTCACAGGGAACTCTGAGAATCGTAGCTTTGTGAGGGAAATTGGGGTCTCCTAACGACTCTCAGCACCTTATGAATCTACAACCTTGATTTCTGAAAGGAGCCAGACTTGAGTGCTGACAGATCTGTCCAGGGAGCGATTTTAGAACAGGGGAGAACAAATGAAAAATACCTCTGACAAATAGTGAATCAGACTGAATTTTGTGGGAGAGACTGAGCAAACTCTATCACTCCCATTTGAAATAAAAGTATAAATTGTTATACTATTGGTATTTGTGTTGTGTTGGACCTTCTTCGCCAACTGAGTTTGTTCAGCGACTGGGGTGATGGAATAAAAACTTGCCCGCAATATCTTTGCTTACTTTATTTTTCAATAATAATCAAACAACTGCAAAACACCCCTTCTCACCACCATTCCTCAATAGCATTCCTTAACAGTATTCCTATAAAAGTAGACACAACACCACTTGATCAACTTACATACAGTTTTAAAATAATCAATTACCCTATCACATTGCTGCATTCGGTGCAGCAGGTAAACTCCCCCTGCTAATTAGTTAAATTGTTAAGATACCACAGGTGTGCTGACTTGTCAAGAGCTCACAGATGTGCTGCTATGCAGGTTATAATTACAAACACACCTCTGAATAGCACCATCGACCACATCAATATTAAGAAAACCCAACAATTTGATGCCATGCAAAATATAAAAACAATACATACACATATGCATGTTGTGTTTGCGGTTATTATTAGCAGACTGCATCTATATGTGGTGGTCATGTTCTATTATCCAAACATTTTGGATCCATTCAGAGACATTGGAGGTATTAGGAGAATAACAAGCTATAAATGTTCCTTAGGTCTTTAAATAATGCTATTAGAAAAATAGTTATCTGAGCATATTGAAATCATATTGCTCAATAGTTTCAGACTAACACCTGCAAAATTGATTATTGCAAAAGACGCAATAAATGCAAGACACCTACATGCAGATAACAGATAAGTGGAGGATGGCAATTAGCATAACAAAACAAACTGCAGTGCAACTGAATTCTAAACCTGTGATATTATGCTGCTTTATTTGAATATAAATTAATGCAATTAAATAACATTCTCAAAAAGGGGGGGGAGTCTGTTCCATGTTACAGTGTAATTTTGAAGATCACCAATGAATAAGAAATGTTTTGGAAATATCCTGCATAATGTACAGGGCTGCCTATGAGGATAAAATGGAGAGGGGGTGCGGGGAGGAAACATTGCATGCTGCTTTGAAATCCTATATGAAACGCGAGATATAACCGGAAGTGATAAACAAATGCATCTTGACTTCCTCAGGGGGAAGGGTTGTGGCCAGTCTGACCAGTGACAGTCCAGCTCTGGTGGGATCCAATGTGTCTTTTAATGTGATCCTCAAGTTTCCCAGATGTCAAAGAGAAGATAATGACAGCAATATAATATACGATCAACACTGCATCAACGGCAAGTAATGAAAGTACCTGCATATGCTAGGAGTGTGAATGGTTCTCAAGCTTTGCCCTGCGTCTTGTATCTGTACACTTTCAAAAATTCTATTCTGTACAAAAAAAGCAAAGTGACAGAGCCTCTGTGGCTTGGTGGTGGTCCTGATGGGACTCATAGAGATTTACGGACATTGTGCTTTGACTCCAGTGGGATGGGAGACCCTGGTGATAGGCAGACATATTCCTGATGTACTAGGAAAGTTCTTTACTTCTCCACCTTTTTCAATTTCTTACATGATACACGGGATAGCTGACATGATATGTTTGCTGGGAGTGACTTGTGGGACGCACTGCTCATAACAGATGAGATTTCCTTGGTTATAATTATGATGCTTCCTTGAAGTACTGTATTTACTTTACAAACGTTTGATGGGAGTTTTGTGGCATTGCAAGCCACAAATCCAAGTTCATATAAATGCCAGGTCGCTGTTTTAGTCCATAGACAAGTGCAGTGCTGTCCTACGCATGTTTACTCAGAAATAAGGCCTGCTGTGTTCAGCTACACAGCAGCAGATAAAACGTTTTGAGTGTGTTTTAAGTGCAATATACAATGTGACACTAGGTGGTGGTGGTGAGCCTTATGGAAAATTCAATGTATTTTTTAAAACGCTTTTTTAAAAAAGCATTTTCAAAGTGGTTTTTATATGTGTCTAGATTCCACCTGAGTCTTTACTGACTTTCCTGAAAAGGTTTCCTTCTTTTCATTTTTCCTTTCCTTTGCTTCAAGGTTCTTCTGATTATGCAAATCTTCCCGACCTGTATGTTTACAACTGGACTCAGTGGATTGACGATTGTGACGGGCAGAATTGCTCTCATAACAGTAGTCACAATGTGTTTCCAGATGGCAGACCTTTCCCTCGTCACAAAGACTGGAGGAGGAGAAACTTCATCTATGTGTTTCATACTCTCGGTCGGTCCTAAAAACGCACCTTTAGCTTACTGTGTTATTACTAATAATTAGTAGTACTTGTTGCTACTAATAGTATTTGTTACTTCTAATATTAGTACTTCTTGCTACTAATAAAATCATAACAATAATTATTTAGCTTTAAAAAGAAGACACTTAAGATGCTTTATAAACTTCTTTACATATACAGTGGTACCTCGGGTTACATATGCTTCAGGTTACAGATGCTTCAGGTTACAGACTCCGCTAACCCAGAAATAGTGCTTCAGGTTAAGAACTTTGCTTCAGGATGAGAACAGAAATCGTGCTGCGGCGGTGCGGCAGCAGCAGGAGGCCCCATTAGCTAAAGTGGTGCTTCAGGTTAAGAACAGTTTCAAGTTAAGTACAGACCTCTGGAACGAATTAAGTACTTAACCCAAGGTACCACTGTAAAGAAAGACTTATCTGAGATAATGTGGTCCTCATGTGAGAGGACAGTCAGTTCAGAGCTGCTCTGAGACTACAGAAGCTGTTTTGTTGACATTCTGAATTTTGGAAGTCAGACACCTTTTTTCAAATGCAGTCTTTCCTGAGTTGATTTACAGTTTATAGGAGAACAGCTCAATATGACAGGCATTTAAACAACTCTGGGAAAGCAGGATATATACAATTATGATATGTGTTTGTAATTAGGAAGTATTTTGATATTGTGCATTTTAATGGCCATAAGAGTTTCATATTTAAGGTGGGATTGCTGGCTTGAAATGCTCTTTCTGTTTTGTTTTCTTTTAACTTATGATGTTTAGTTTTAAAAATTGTCCTTCATATTGTATATGCTGCCTTGGGAAGTTGTTAATATTTTGTAAGGTGATCTAGAAATCTATTAAATAATAAGAATAAGAATAGGGTTGTTTATTGTCTGTTTTGATCTTGTTGGTGAGAGATAATGTCAGGGGTTCAGGGACAGAGGCACAGGTGAGGGAGGAGACGGAGAGCGAGGGGGAAGAATCCCAGGGCAGCGAGGAAGAGGATGACAATGACTTGAGGGATTCCATGAGTCTTTCAAGTGAATCGGAGGATTCCCAGAAGGGGGCGCCTGTGGTCAGGCCAAGGGGAGTCACAGGGGGGACTCGTCAGGAGCAGGGGACCAGCGGGGGAACCCAGAGTGGGAGCTGGGAGTCGGGACCGGCTTCTCCGCCAGAGCGCAGTGAAGGGGGTGAAGATTCCAGCGTGACAGGGGAAGCAGGTCCAAAAGCAGAGAGGGAGGGGAGATCGGAGCAAGACATCCTCCCGGAAGGGGAGGGGAGTAGCGCAGGGAGTAGTGTAACTGTCAAGAGGAAGGTTAGAGGTTGCAAACGCGCGCCAAGTTCAAATGTGGAGGCGCGCGGAAGCACAGGGAGTCCGGAGGAGGAGCCAGGTCCCAAAGCACGCAGGAGGGGGGAAGAGCTGTCTGGGGATTCCGCGTCAGGGGAATCCAGGAGGGGCGAAACCCCAGGGGGCAGGAAGACCCTGCGGAAAAGGAAAGAAAGGAAGAGGTGGAGCAGCACAAGCCTCTTAAAGTGGTGCAGAGGCGGGACTGACTCAGAGGGGACTTCAGCGGTCTAAGCGTAACAGACGTGGGGCTGCGCGCCTTGGCTGTGGAGCATACAATACACTTCAATAAACGTCTTTGTATATAAACTGGACTTGGCGTTGGTCTCTTGTGAGCTGGGACCTGAGGCAGCCCTGACAGATAATAAAGTTATTTTCTAGCTCCCCTTGGTATGTCCTCTGATGCCTTCCATGATATGAGCAGTGATTGCGCAACAGAAAACAATGGGGAGGGATCCTAATTCAGTGGTGGAGCATCTATTTTGCACCTAATGGTAGTCAATGCCAGTATTGGTTTATTCAGGTTTGTACAGTCACTGTGAGACTGTCTTGGGCTTTTAAGTGCAAGTGGATAGAACATTGATCTTGGATGGAGGGAACCTGTGTCCCAATTCCTGCTCCGTCATGAACTTAAATGAGTGACCTTGGTTTAATCTCCATCTCTCCCCTATCTCATCCCAAAGAGCTGTGGAGGTAAAATGGCAAAACCACCACATACATTTCCCTGACCTCTGTCTAATAATGATTGGAACAATTGCAATCCCTTTATAGAACTGTTTCCGGAAAGTTTTATTGATTTATTTACTAACTTGTGGGAAAGGATAAGTGTGTTTACCTACTCGAGTGAAATGGGTGCCTATGTTCAAAAGGAAAAAAATTGCAAGCCTGACCAGTTCCACAGCGATAATCCTTTTTTTCATATTTCCCGTTTTTCGCAGGCCAGTATTATCAGACGACAGGTGGTTCTTCAGCTATGGTGTCCATCAACACAACAAATATCACACTTGGCAATCAAATTATGGAATTATCAGTTTATAGGCGAAATTATCGATCCTTTCAACCAGTAGCCACAGCAAATGTTGTTTATGTCGTAACAGGTAAGTGGGTAAGTTAAATAAATAATAACTTAGCAAACCTGAATGGTTTAAATAACATAGTACAAGAGTGTTTTAATTGTATTGTGTGCATGTGAACTTTGTATACCACAACAAACGTTGGTTTGTGCAAAGACATCTCCTAAATATGAGAGCTTCGTCAAATTTTGTTACCTCTATGGTTTTTCAGTTCCCAAGGATTACCTATCTTGAGTCCAACCACAATCTCATCCTTTTGCTTGACTTCATTTTCTATGCAGATAAAATCCCTTTCTATGTGAACATGACTCAGAAGAATGATCGCAACGCCTCAGACTACATTTTCATCAAGGATATCCCTATTACATTTGATGTCCAGATTCACGATCCTAGCCACTACCTGAACCGCTCTGCTATTTCCTACCGCTGGAATTTTGGAGATGGCAGTGGCTTATTTGTTTCCAACAGTTCTGTTCAGATGCACACATATACACTTCTGGGAAATTTCAGCCTTGACTTGTCTGTCCACGCTCTTATACCTGCCCCTTGTGGACCACCAACACCTCTTCCACCAACACCTCTTCCACCAGGTAAGAGGCCATGGCTCCAGGCTAAGTTGAAATAAATCAAAAGGGTTCATTATATGGAATAGTTGACCAGACCATTTTTCATGATAATAATGAGCATATTGGTTAACAAAGAATTGTGGCATACTTACGGTGTTCCCCTTTCTTACAGGAGTGCTGGAAGGGAATAGTTGAAGTAGGCCATTGGCATTTCAGTGTCCTAGGACAAATGCTTTTAATATATAGTATTAAGACTATTGAAGTGGCTTCTTTCACTCTCTCTACATTATGCAGCACCAGAGCTACAAAAATAAAGTAAAATAAAATAAAATAAAATAATGATGATGGTATTGCTTTTGCTGCATTAATTTCTACATTTCCTCCCAGGAGCTCAAGGCAGTGCACATGGTGCTTTTTATCCACACAAGAAAGCCTTGAGCTAGATTAGTCTGAGAGGGAGAGTAAATGTCCCAAGATCAGCCAGTGACCTCTGTGGCTTAGTGGGGATTGGAACCTGGGTCTCCCTAGTCCTAGACCAACCCTCTAAACGCACTGGCTCTCTGTTTGTAAGTTTACAGACTTGTAAGTTTACAGGGTCTAGATGCAAGTGAAGAAAGAAGAGGAAGAGAGGGTGTATTCAAAACTAGGGACCAGCAAGAAATAAAGCTGGGGAAACATGTGAAGAAGTAAGACTTTCAGGATTTTTTAAAGTATGGCAAGCTGGACCAAGAGAGATATTGGGGGAGAAATTATAAATAGAAGGTGTAATAAGATATGTAAAAGAATGGATTCAGAAAAGCGAAGGACAAGAGGACAAATATTTAGTTATTTATTAAAAATGTATATTCTGCCCATCACATAAGGTCACAAGGTGGGTTACACAACATCAAGCAATGTACACAATAAATAGAATAATAAATGCATAATTAAATCAGCGTTGCCATAGAGATTATGTTATACATACTAGATAAGGCAAACTCTTTCTGTTCAGTAAACGGTATATACAAAAAAACTCTGTCGGTCATCCAACTCCCAAGGCCAAAAAAACTAGGTGTAATAAGTGTTTTACTTGCCTTTGTTTAGTTGTGTGAAATACACAAATCCAGTTGATATCTGGCCATAACACGTCCGATTGGAATTTATGGGAGCTAAGCAAGAGTGCAAGACTTGCAGGCGTTCCAGATAAATTCTGTTTGTTATGCTCAAAATGTTTTGCTAAAAGTGCAAATACATTAACTCCTTTCCCTTTCCCTTGTTTCAGTAACTACCTCGCTGCCTTCGAATGTAACTCCCAGCTTCAATAGTTTAATAGAGGAGCCAACAGGACAGTCTCCTGTCGAAGGATGCCATATTGCTCGATCTGGACCTTATAAAGCATCTCTCTTCATTGCAGGTATGCATCTACATCCGTAAGGAAATAATGTGGTTTGATAGGTAATAAAGGGAATTCGTTTGAACTTGTGCGTGTCATTAAAGTGGCTTTTCTGAAGCTGCTCTTGCTGGCTGGCTGCTGTTTCGTTTTGCTCAAGAGACGAATTTCGGAAGAGTACCAATAAAGAATATCAATAGCTGGCAACTAGTGGCAGCTGGCGGGGCAGAAGGCCAGGAGGCCAACTGTAGATGGAGCCAGAGCCAAGGACAGGCAGAACCAACCCATTCTGCTTTTATTCCCATCCTCCTCCCTGCTGAGTTATACAGGAGCAACACTAAGACTAAGGAGGAGGAAGGTGTCAGCCAGGACAGCCAGGGAGGCGAGGTCTGGCTGAAGGCAGACTGAGGTTAGTGGGGCAGTGCCCCATTTGTCCTAATGGACCAGTCTCCACTGTTGACAAGATCAACTCTCTTATTTTTGCAGGTCAGGTTCATAGCTGTCAACTTTCCCTTTGCTTGCGAGGAATCCTATTCAGAGTAAGGGAATTTCCCTTAAAAAGGGGGAAATGTTGACAGCTATGGTCAGGTTGCATGCAGCAGACATTGTGGGTTGGATCCAAAAATTCCCTTCTGTGAACTGAAGGAGGCCTCTTCCAACAGGAGGGCCTGAGGAAGAGATTCCTTCTGCCCAACAACAAATCCCATTCACAGGGGGGAATCTTTGAATCCAACTCAATGAAGTAATGTTTTTCGGCCTTTACCAAACATAAAAGGTAAAGGTAAAGGGACCCCTTGTTATGTAGTGTAGTTTCACCCTGGGCCAACAGGGGGATACTGTATATAGTTTTCACTCAGGTCTGTAGATAGTTTTCACTCAGGTCCGCGGCAGTTATTTTAGGCGGGAACTCTGGGCTGTTGTGGTTACAATGTTGACAGCCGGCTGCCTATAAATACAGGTCGGCTGAGCTGTTCGCAGTCAGTTGTATTCCAGCTTACCATAATAAAGAGCTACTTGAAGAAATCGCTGTGCCGGCTGCTATGTCAACCCACGACTTAACACTGGCGACGAAGGTGGGATCGATGGACATCAGAGCACAGCCAGATGCGGCCAGCCTCTGAACTGAGCTGAATCACTGAGCTGAATCACAGAGCGAAATCACTGAGCGAAATCACTGGGCAGAACCAATTCAGAGCTGACTGTTCTGGCTAGAGCACTGTGTTCCATCCATCGCCCTTCGCGCCGGCATCGGAATCATGGCTTCACTTGTGCCTCTACCGCCGTTTGCGCCAGCCTCTGAATCGTGGGACTCCTACCTCGCTCGTTTCGACTGCTACCTCCAAGCCAACGAGCTGACAGCAGTATCAAAGGATCGGAAGCGGGGCCTATTCCTCAGCCTCTGTGGGCCTGAGGTGTTTGAGACGGCCCGAGCGTTGGTTGCACCTGAAGCAGTCCAGGCAACACCATGGGACACGATCCAAGAGAAGCTCCGCAACCACTACGCACCAAAGCCGTCCAAGATTGCTGCCCGCCATGCGTTCTACCACCGGAACCAGGCAGAGGGGGAGTCAATCAACAACTACACCACCGCCCTGCGACAGGCTGCAATGCACTGTGAGTTCCGAGACTTAGACGATGCCCTGATGGGTCGAATCGTCTGCGGGGTCCGGGACATCCATCTGTAACGGCGCCTCCTAGCCAAGCCAGACCTCACGCTACAGAAAGCCATTGAGGAGGCTGTGGCCTCAGAAGCTGCTGAACGCTCCGCCCAGGAGATCCGCAAGTCCAGCAGCCCGCGTCTTGCTAGGGAGCCAGTTCCGGTGCATCATGAAGAGGCCAGCAGTGATGAGGCATCCTCCAGTGAAGACGATGACGTGCACCAGACAAAGCGGGAGCGCAGGAAGTTCCAACAGAAGTCCAAGGGCCAACCGGAATGTGCTGGCTGCGGAGGCAACCATTCCCGTGCCAAGTGTCGATTCAGAGACGCCATCTGTAGGAAGTGTTCCAGAAGGGGCCACATCGCTAAGGTCTGCCGATCGGCTCCGTCTGACACCCCCCCTTCATCGACTCGCAAGTCCAAGTCTTCACTCCAGTCTGCCAAGAAAAGTTGTTTCGCTCTCACCAACTGCCGCTGCCCGTCTGGAACCACGATTGGCCAAACCGACTCGCCTACGCGACGCAAGCTGAACGTCACGGTGCTCATTGAAGGAGCTCCATGTGACATGGAGATCGACACCGGGTCTGCCCTGTCCATCGTGTCATGGAGCACCATCAAAAGACTGGTACCCAGAGTGTCCAAAAGGCAACTCGACTCTCACCGCGTACACCTGAGAGACTACCAGGGAAACGACATTCCCGTGGTAGGCGTTGGCCGGTTCCGGATCGCTTTCAAGGATTTTTCAGGCCTGCTCCGGTTGGTGGTGGTCGAAGGTCAGCGGCCAAGCCTCCTAGGGCTAGACTGGTTTGATGCCCTCGGCCTGGAAGTCACCGGCATCAACTGCATCTCTAACGCAGAGACTGAGGGTCTGGTCAAAGACTTTGCCGAGGTTTTTGACGGCACCTTGGGCCAATATACAGGTACGCCCATCTCCTTTAGCCTTGATCCACAAGTCGCCCCCATCAAGCTAAAGCCACGCCGGGTTCCCTTTGCTCTCAAGGCTAAGGTGGACGAACAACTGGACAAACTGATCGCCCAAGGAGTTTTGGAGCCGGTTGACCACGCAAAGTGGGAAACCCCCATCGTCACGCCTGTCAAGCCAGATGGGTCGGTGAGAATCTGCGCTGACTACAAGTGCACGATCAACAAGGCACTTCAGCAGCACGCTTATCCGGTTCCTGTTGTCCAACACCTGCTGCATTCCCTGGGTGAGGGTAAGGTCTTCGCTAAGCTGGACCTTGCCCAAGCCTATCAACAACTGCCAGTCGATGATGCCACTGCGGAAGCCCAGACGATCGTCACCCACCGGGGGGCATTCCGTTGCCGCCGGTTGCAGTTCGGGGTGAGTGTGGCTCCTGGCATCTTCCAAAGCCTTATGGAGCGTCTCCTGCAAGGGCTTCCGGGCGTGGTACCATATTTTGATGACGTCTTGGTGTCTGCAGACTCACACCAGCAGCTGTTCGAGCGCCTCCGTGCCGTGCTGACCAGGTTCCAGGAGGCCGGGCTCAAGGTAAAGAGGGAGAAGTGCCAGATCGCCGTTCCACAGGTAGAGTTCCTGGGCTATCTTATCGATGCCTCCGGTCTTCATCCAACCACATCCAAGATCCGCGCTATTCAGCAGGCCCCCACCCCAAAGAACAAAACGGAGTTGCAGGCATTCCTGGGGCTGCTGAACTTTTATAACATGTTCCTGCCCCACAAAGCCACAGTGGCTGAGCCTCTTCACCGACTCCTTAGCACTAAGACGCCTTGGGCCTGGGGTCATCGGGAGACGGCGGCCTTCAACGCGGTCAAGGCTCTCCTTTCTTCAGACAGTGTGCTGGTACAGTACAGTGAATCCAGGCCGCTGGTCCTTGCCTGCGACGCCTCACCTTTTGGCATCGGTGCTGTCCTTAGTCACCGTTTTCCAGATGGAAGAGAAGCACCGCTCGCCTACTTTTCCAGGACACTATCTCCGACGGAACGGAATTACAGCCAGCTCGACAAGGAGGCATTGGCACTTGTGGCTGGAGTGAAGAGGTTCCATGAATACCTCTATGGCAGGACTTTTGACCTCATCACTGACCACAAGCCACTCCTGGGCCTCCTCGCCGGTGATCGTCCAACTCCACCGGTCCTCTCACCACGCATGCTGCGATGGACTGTTTTCCTGGCTGCCTACCACTACCGGCTCATCCATCGCCCGGGGAAATCGATGGGCCATGCCGACGCCCTCAGCCGTTGCCCTCTTCCAGCATTTGTGGAAGACCCGGCTCCAGCTTCATCGCTCCTTCTGATTGAGGATCTTCCGGCAGCGCCTGTATCGGCTGCCACTGTGGCCTCCGCATCTGCCCAGGATCGCACCATCAGCCGGGTGCTCAACTGGGTGTGGAGGGGGTGGCCACAAGGGCCTTTTGCATCGGAGTTCCAGCCCTTCGCAACCAGACAACATGAACTCTCAGCTCATCGTGGCTGCCTGCTGTGGGGAGACCGCGTCGTGATTCCCCAGGGACTCCGTCAGCGCGTCCTGGAGGCTCTGCACGTTGGCCACCCGGGAATTGTCAAAATGAAGGCGTTGGCTCGGTGTTACGTCTGGTGGCCTAATATGGACGATGCCATCACTGCCTGGGTGTCCGCCTGTCAAGCGTGCCAGGAGTCGAGGCCTGCACCACCGGCAGCTAAGGGACACACCTGGGAGACGCCAAAGACACCCTGGTCGAGGGTGCACATCGATCTGGCTGGCCCCTTTCACGGCCGGACCTTTATGGTAGTGGTGGACGCCTATTCCAAATGGCTGGAGGTCGCCCTGATGCCCTCCACCACTACCGAAGCTGTCATCCGGGTGCTGCGAGGCCTGTTTGCAACGCATGGGTGTCCTGATGTCCTTGTCTCTGACAACGGACCGCAGTTCACGTCAGGCACGTTTGAGCGGTATCTTTTGGGACTGGGCATCCGCCATGCCCTAACGGCACCCTTTCATCCATCCAGCAACGGGCAAGCGGAAAGAATGGTGCGCTCGACAAAAGAGGCACTGGCGCGCCTGGACCGGGGAGACTGGCATGAGCGAGTCGCCGAATACTTGTTCGTGCAACACATCACCCCTCATGCGGCCACAGGGAGGAGTCCTGCTGAACTGCTTATGGGCCGCCGCCTCAGGTCACCACTCGACCGGCTACACCCAGACTTTGCCGTGGCTGAACCCCCAGGCTGTGCCAATGCACCACGGTCATTTGTCCCAGGAAACCAGGTCTTTGCCCGGAACTATGTGGGGGACATCCCTTGGGTGCCAGCCACAGTAGTGGGAGTCACTGGACCTCGCTCGTACCAGGTGGCACTCGAAGACGGACGCTTGTGGCGACGGCACATAGACCAGCTTAGGCGCAGGGTTGGGGACTTGGACACTACCGAGGTGCCCCCAACTGCGCTTGCGGCTCCAGAAGAGACACGTACAGATGGCAAGGCCCCACCTACACCTCCCTCACAAACTGCCAGCGTGGAGCCGAACCAAGCCGTTTCAGAACAGAATAAAGAATATCAATAGCTGGCAACTAGTGGCAGCTGGCGGGGCAGAAGGCCAGGAGGCCAACTGTAGATGGAGCCAGAGCCAAGGACAGGCAGAACCAACCCATTCTGCTTTTATTCCCATCCTCCTCCCTGCTGAGTTATACAGGAGCAACACTAAGACTAAGGAGGAGGAAGGTGTCAGCCAGGACAGCCAGGGAGGCGAGGTCTGGCTGAAGGCAGACTGAGGTTAGTGGGGCAGTGCCCCATTTGTCCTAATGGACCAGTCTCCACTGTTGACAAGATCAACTCTCTTATTTTTGCAGGTCAGGTTCATAGCTGTCAACTTTCCCTTTGCTTGCGAGGAATCCTATTCAGAGTAAGGGAATTTCCCTTAAAAAGGGGGAAATGTTGACAGCTATGGTCAGGTTGCATGCAGCAGACATTGTGGGTTGGATCCAAAAATTCCCTTCTGTGAACTGAAGGAGGCCTCTTCCAACAGGAGGGCCTGAGGAAGAGATTCCTTCTGCCCAACAACAAATCCCATTCACAGGGGGGAATCTTTGAATCCAACTCAATGAAGTAATGTTTTTCGGCCTTTACCAAACATAAAAGGTAAAGGTAAAGGGACCCCTGACCATTAGGTCCAGTCGTGACCGACTCTAGGGTTGCAGCAGTCATCTCGCTTTATTGGCCGAGGGAGCCGGCGTACAGCTTCCAGGTCATGTGGCCAGCATGACTAAGCCGCTTCTGGCGAACCAGAGCAGCACACGGAAACACTGTTTACCTTCCCGCCAGAGTGGTACCTATTTATCTACTTGCACCTTGATGTGCTTTCGAACTGCTAGGTTGGCAGGAGCTGGGACCGAACAACGGGAGCTCACCCTGTCGCGGGGATTCGAACTGCTGACCTTCTGATCGGCAAGTCCTAGGCTCTGTGGTTTAACATACTCACCTGTAAATGTTTTTTCTTGGTTAGGAAATGGTCTGTGAAGTCTCCCCACCTTTCTTGGGTGTCCCCTATACACACCTGCTGCTCCAACATCTCTGCAATGCTATTGTCTCATTTTGTGACGTTGATGCAGCTGTTCCTCATCACCTCTCTGGCGGTGTAGTTTTCTCAGGCTAGGAAGTCCTTCTTCCAATGATATTGTTGACAGCCCATTGGTTTCAACAGGACTTACATCTAATTTAGGAGTGCTTAAGGCTGCAAGCTTAAGCTACCATTCCAAACAGATGGCTATAAAAATCCTGTAGAAGAGATCAGCCGGGAAATATATTAAAGCAGTTGTAAATTCTCGGCACCCATTTTTCAGAATAACTTACTATGCAATATCTAGCGTAGAAAATTCTAACGTGGTTTACCTGTGCAGATTTCTGGTTTTCTGCAAATCAAAGGGATTGCAGGTGGGGAAATATAGTTCAGGAGTACTCTGGAAATAGTTGCAAGCCTAGCTGGGGAAGAAATTAATGTATGGAGGAACTAGTGGGTGTGCGAAGGGGAGCGGCAGAAACTGAGGATAGATCTGCCCACTCCAAAACACTGGAACAAATAGTCTGTGACCCCAAGTGCAGCACTTGCAGCCCAATTTCCCACAGTTTATTGGATTATCCTTGTATGGTAAGCCTGAATTCACAAGGGGAAAGCATCTAGACTGGTGTTGTGAGGGTAGTGCCATGTGGACTATGCAAATAAAATGGGAACACAAACAGTTGCAAGCACACAATAAATTCTGGGGTGGACCATCCCAAAGTGTCTGGAGTACTGAGGTGCCTTAAAAATGTTAATTTCAAGAACAGCAGGAATCTAATACAATGGTCAAAACAAAATAAGTTGCAATGCATTTCCACACTCTTTTGAATTGTGTATCCATTATGACAAAATGTAGGTGAGCTCCATTTGCAGGCAGCCTTTGGATCCAATTAAGATCATTCTAAAACAATTCATTCTCTACATTTCCAAATGGAATTTTTTATTTTTGCTGTCAAAGTTCTTGTCTCAGAAATTCTGACATTTTGCCAATTTGTTTCTTTGGCCAGAGGGGATCCTTGGGGTCAATATTATCCAAATGACAAGTGTCCAGGTGGCCACTACTCAGGTTGAAAACTCCATGGTTGATTTTGTGGTAACCTGTCAAGGGAGGTAAGTGCTTTCATTAATTCTGATAACTCTGCTTCTTGTAAAACTTAGACCATGAAGTGCTACAGACATTTAAGTTGTTCCGTTGCAGCAGCGCTCATCTTAGCTCACTGAACTTCTTGCTGATAAAGTGGTATTGCTGAGGATGGTTCACGGAGCAGAAGTTCTGGGTCTTTTGTGATAGTCACCAGATCTCTGGCCTCTTTCCCCCTGTGCTTATAAGTCAGTGTTGGTGAGACCCACACACCATCTTAGTCTCCCAGAGGCATATATAGGGATAAATTATTATGTGCAAATTTTATACAGATTTGTTTCAGGAGCCCATGCTCCAAGTTCTTAAAGCAGCTAACAGTGTCCCTGCTCACATAAAAACCTTGCATCAGGATTTATAAAAAGGCTGGTTCACCAAGGTTTGTGAATTGTTAAATATTACAGAAGACCTTTATTTTCTGTTAGCCTTTGCTGAATAATGCTGCTAGTTTTTACTCCTGAGTTTTGATAGCCTTTGGGTGTTGCTTTCATTTGGTTTCTGATTTTTGTACTTTACTGCTTTTTATTGTGTTGTGTTGGTTTTAAATATATATTTTAAGATAAATCCATCTGAACATAGCTTTCACAGAAAAGCAGAACAGAAATGTGATAAACGTGTTGACTTCTGCGAAATGAAAACTGATGAAAAGTCCATAATTTCATCCATCTTTCTTTCTTCCCGCGCCCTAGTCTTCCTACAGATGCCTGCACAATAATTGCTGACCCCACCTGCCAGGTGTTACAGAGCGAGGCATGTGACCCTGTTGACATAGATGAGTGCCTACTCACCATAAGACGGACCTTTAACGAATCCGGAACCTATTGTGTGAACATTACACTGGGTGATGCAGCGAGCCTGGCTCTCACAAGCACTTTGATATCCATCAATGGAGGTGAGTCCTGGCTGAACATCTGCATTCATTTGCGGTCAGCACCTTGTGGCTCATGAAGTGTGGTGGAGTTGTCCCATAGCTGCTGGTTGTCAGGACAGGATGGAGGCAGGCAGTGGCAAGGTCAGGACTGTGCAGTTGCATTGACAAGAGTGCAGGATTGGTGTCACATGCAGGGCTGGCCCTAACGTTAGTCAGGTGGCTGCCTCAGGCAACTAATTGTGGATGCCCTGAAAGATCAGGAAATGCCTCGTTATTTAATGTATTATTATTGTAACTAAATAACCAAGGAGAGAGACGTGCTTCAGCCTCAGTGGTCAAAATAACTTGGCTGGGTAAAGGTAAAGGAGCCCTGGGCAGTTAAGTCCAGTCAAAGGCAACTATTTATCTACTCGTGTTGGTATGCTTTTGAACTGCTAGGTTGGCAGGAGCTGGGACAGAGCAATGGGAGCTCACCCCGTTGTGCAGATTCAAATTGCCGACTTTCTGATCCGCAAGCCCAAGAGGCTCAGTGGTTTAGACCACAGCGCCACCTGCTCCCTACAACTTGGCTGAACTAAGCTACTGTGACTTGGAGGGGGTCACAAAATTATTTGGGCAGCTCTGGAATAAGACAGGCACCATTTCTCCATTCCAACAAAGAATGTGTGCTGTGTCTACAGCAGTTCCCATCAGCTGCAATGATGTCCAGTGTCAGTGGTAGTATCAGGCACATGTAGACTGCCGAGATATTTTATGCTGTAAGACAGTCTTTGTCAAGGTGGTGCCTTCCAGTTGTTTTGAACTATAAATCCCCTCAGCTCCTGCCAGCACCATCATGCTGGCTAGGCTGATGGTAGTTGTAGCCCAAAACATCTGCATGCCACTAGGTTAGCAAAGGCTGCTATAAGAGTACTGACCTCCAAGTTGAGGAGTGTGAACTAACATTATGGCCTTTAACTTTGTCATTCAAGCTGCAGGGTCATTTTCAAGGACAGCAGAAGGAGTTCTGCTCGCTTGCGGTTTCTTGGTGGTGTTTGTTGCCATCGCGACTTTTTTCCTTTACAAGTAAGTTGCTTGGCCCAGACCTTAAAAACAGTGCCTGTTTATTTTACGATCTCCAACGCTCACCATTTTTAATGTTCACAAGGAACATTGACAATACAGATTGACCAGTTATATGATCTGAGGAGAAACCAGTGTTACCTTGGAAGGAGATTCCTGCAAGAGTACTGATTTCATTGTGTTTTATCTATGTATAAATTATATCCTGCTGTAAAGCCAATATTGGATCCCATGGCATTGCATTTAAAATGCATAAAGGTACCATATATTAGGGATACATTGTGGTGTGGGCAACACTCCCTTCTTGACCTTGGAAGCTGAGGTCCACTTTCTGGTGGCATTGTGGTATTTGTTGGCACCTGGGGTGTGTGTGTATGTGTGCACAGTGCAGAGGGTGAACAGAACCTGCCGTGCCAGCAATGCTGCCAGGTGGGCATGCTGGGTGGGGGCAGAGTGCAGAGGGTTCACAGAGCCTGCCCCATGGCCCAGCCCTTGCTACTGGAGCCACACAATGCCACCTGTCCACCTATGCTAGGGGGAGCCCGGTTGGCCAACATGGCCCTTGATGGATGAATCCCTCTGACACTGGCTGGAAGGCCATTCAGCAAGAGGGCCTGGGATCTGGTGGCGAGGCCAGGCCAGTCTCCAGGGCCCAGAGACTCCTGGCAGCGTGCAGGGTGGGATGGGGGTCCCTGCATGCGGACGCCTGGTTCGTGCCCCCACAAAATTGTGTGCCTTTGGTTCATGCATTGTTTTGAGAAGTGTGCATTACCAAAATGAATCCCTCCTCCACCCCTTGTCCTAATCTGACGCTCTAACCACTGCATCACATTGGATCGCTTTAAAAAAAAACGTTACAGAACAACAACACCCAATATAATTTTTCTCTTTCATGGTTTAGCCTTTGCAGAGTAGTTTGTTGTTGGGTGAGAAGCACACCACAAGTCTTTCTAAGCATCAAATAGATCATTTTATACACACACACTTACCAGTTTTTCTCTGGCAATAAGCTCTTGCACATGCCATAGAATTTTTCAAAATACTGACCTGGGCAGCAACATTTTGCACAGGAGAATAAAGTGGCTTGTTTTGTTTGTTCTCATCCCAGCCACAGTACTGGCATAGCAATGCACCATGAAGGGAATACTTTTCAGTAAATTAATTTTGAAAATTCCTTCCAGGAGATATAAAGAATACAAGCCTATTGAAAGAAAAACTGGAGACGAGGCCAGTAACGAAGGACTGAGTGTTTATTTCAACAATGTCAAGGCTGTCCTCTTCCCGGCAAACAATGAGAAACATCCTCTGCTGAAAAATAAGCCAGGAATTGTTTAACTCTTCAGTATAATCACTTATATTTGTATGCATTTGGGGATTTGCATTGAACTGTCATTCAATGGAAGAATACCTAAGTGTTAAAATCAGGATTTATGTGGTAAGCTTGCAGTACAATAGAATGGCTGGTGTTGTGTTGACTTGTCTTAGAAGGTTAAAATGGCATCTCACGGAGAAATTGATCATACATTTTGCTTGCTTATGTTCTTGGATCTGCTACGGTATATTAGCTAATAAATCATTTAAGGTTGATACGGTTTCCTAGACTAGTTACTCCTCCTGAGTATCACTAAGTGTCTTCTTGGCAGAAAGATTTTCTCCAAAGAATTTAAGCTTAGGCTGAACTCCTAGCAAGTCAAGTCCCACCAAACTTGAGGGAGCTTGCTTTGGGGTAAACATGCAGAGGATCAAGCTGTTAAGTTGGAATTTCCCTAGTTCCCTAATGAGTGATAATGTGGCTGCTTTGAAAATTATAATAGGTACCTAAGAAATGATCAGCATGTAGCATCACTTACCCCAATGGCTTCAGATGCATAGTAGACATACCCAATATACTCTCCACCAGATGAGCAACTTGCAGTTACATGACTGCTCTTGGTTCTGTTTCCTCTGCCTACCATATTCCTTATACTTGAGATACATGAGAGCAGGATCTACATTCTGCACCCAAAGGAGCAGCAGGCAATGTGCACTGAAATATCCATGGCTCTGCTCCCTTGGGATGTGTTTGTGTGAGATTGTTTTTGAGTAGCCTACATGCTCTACATGTCTTCAGGCCTCACTAGTCCCCACTTCTCTGCTCAGCAGAATATGCCATGTGGTATTGACATGGAGTGTTCCTGCACAGCTCTATGGTGTGTTTTTTTACTAGACAGCTTTCCTGAACACCTGTGGTTTCATGGCAAAGCACTTAGCGGGAAGTGTGAGAAGTTCTCTTAGAAATGCGCCCTAGCACAAAGATATATTTGCACGATTTCAGTCTGAAACCAGAGGACTAAGCCAGGCTTCCCTGGTGCTGCTTGCTTTTATGCAATAATTATGTTGTGCTATCCCCATCAAGCTGAGAAATTCACACTGGCACACAGGACAAGTTGATTCTAGTACTACATAATCTGAGTTTAGCAATGCTGTAAACTTTGGAAATACGCAGACTTTGAAAATAAGCAATATATTTGGGTGAAAACTGCGGCAAGGAGGGTAGCACAATAGGCACAGTAGGATTTATGAAATACTGTTATGCAATATGCCATTTATAATGTAGGAAGTTCTGAAGCCAACCATATAAATTTATATGGTTGGCTTCAGAACTTTCTGCATCTTACAGCTTATTCCACTAAAGAAAATTATGTGGAACTATCTGCCTGCCTTTCTGGAAAATGCACAAAGGGTTTTTGATTAAATCTGTTCAGTATAAATCTGCTTTATTTTGATTTGCAGTTATTTGGCTGCTTAGGTATCTGCCTGATCCTGCAGATTGTGTAGAATACTTTGCTCCACTCATGTCCACACAGGGCTGCTGAAGACATTTTATATCTGAGGCCAAGCCCTCATCTCAACTACTGGGATGAAGGGAGCACACAAAGGTTGTTGAAGGATTGGGGAACTTCGGGATAGAAAGAAGGGGGAAAGCCTTTTCTTTATTCCTTTGTCTGCTTCCCCCTTTCTCTGCAAATCATTGAGATGGGACAGGGAGGAAGAAAGGAGGACCAAAAATACGAGTCCTTTCCCCCTTCCCTTTCCCATCTCACAATTTTTCCAGGTGTTAAAAACATGGCAATAGCACCCAAAGTTGGAGGCAATCACTTTACACTGCCTCACAGCACCTGTTCCCAACAAGTTTAATCTTTGCAGTGGTGTTTATGATATAGGCAAGGTAGTGTCCTCTTTGATAGCAATGTTTCCCCTGCAGGAATAGGCACAGTGAGCTCTAGATGCAAAGAAGCACAGCTCTCCTGTAACTTTAATAACGGTGTAGTTATCATGGCACTGTGGATGTTATGTGATCTTAAGAGTATAGTCATGCAGGCAATTTAAGTTTAACAATGGTGAATTAATGTTTTCATCCCACACAACTGCTGTTTTGCAGCACATGACTGGTATGCCACCACACTGGTGTAAACATTTTTTACTAACTAGTAGGTGCAGCATAGTGGCAAGGGACTGAGCTGTGAATCTGGAAGACCCTAGTTTGCATCATCTCTCTTTTGCAATGAACTCATTAAGTGGCTTGAAGCAATATAGTGGCTTACAAGGTTGTTGTTCAAAATGCAGCTATATAACGCATGCTAAATGCTTTTGAAGACTTGAAAGCACGCTATAGAAGTGTTAAGTATTACTGCTCCTAAATTACTAATGGCACGGAACTGGAATGCTGGACGAATGTTTACCTGAATGTTGCTCAATAAATCTGCAGTATTGCAAAGGACAGTTTAGCTATGTAAAGTCTGCATGACCCAATGCTGGTTCTAAACAGAGGTAGCCCCACTGAAATTAAAATGTCACTTACAGTGCACTCCTATATATGTCTGCTCAGATCAGAAGTCCCACTTAGTTAAATGGGGCATACTCCCTGGTAAGTGTGCAGTCTTAATATAGTATGATGGGTCTATAAGCTTTACAGGATAAGTGTATTTTAAAGGTTTGGAAGTATGAATTAGTATTATCAACTTTTATTTTTCTATCTTGTAGAAGTGCACATACTTTTATACAAAAGGCTAGGAAGAGGAGGAAGTGTAAATGATTATAGTTTTAATGTCATGGAAGAAATTGTAAGTTGAATGTGTCTTGCCTTACACTGAAACATCACTATTTCAGTCTGAGACAAGAAATAATAAGAATGATTTGCCCCACTTATTGCAACTCTGTTAAGTTGGAGTAGAAAGCTACACTATTATAGTTTGGGTTCTGTCTTTTATAACCTACCATTTCCTGGCATGACTTAGAAATGTAGTATGTTTGATATTTTAGTCTATGGAGATCCTTGCAAAATCTTACAGGTTCCTTGCGAAGAGAAAATGTATGTTTTCTGTCTTTTCCTCTTGCAACTCTCAATAAACGTATTGATTTTATCTAATATATTGTTCTGATTTTATTAAAGTCCTTTGCTATATTTCCCAAGACCAAAATGCTCTACATCAATCCCTGTCTGAAGACAATCTGCTTTTGTGACTTCTTTTGCTCCCCCCCCCCACTCCTCAATGGGTAAGAAGTAATATACATATCAAAGGACTTCTATTCTTTACATAGGGCCTCTTCATGGGCTACAAATGCAGGAATCTTTTGCCCAATGTGGGGCTCGAACTCACAGCCCTGAGATTAAGAGTCTTATGCTCTGCCAACTGAGATATGTTGGTATCAGGTGCCACAAGTCCTGCTCCAGCCTTTTTGTCACTTGACTCCCCCCCCCTTAACATAAGGTACCATGCTGCTCAGGGACGGGGGTGGCGCTGTGAGTTAAACCACAGAGCCTAGGACTTGCCGATCAGAAGGTCAGTGGTTCGAATCCCCGCAACGGGGTGAGCTCCCATTGTTCGGTCCCAGCTCCTGCCCACCTAGCAGTTCGAAAGCACGTCAAGTGCAAGTAGATAAATAGGTACCGCTCCAGGGGGAAGGTAAACGGCGTTTCCGTGTGCTGCTCTGGTTCACCAGAAGTGGCTTAGTCATGCTGGCCACATGCTGTGCGCCGGCTCCCTTGGCCAATAAAGCGAGATGAGCACCGCAACCCCAGAGTCGTCCACGACTGGACCTAATGGTCAGGGGTCCCTTTACCTTACCATGCTGCTCACTGCATGTTCATAGGTTGCTTCCCATTGGAAAGATCCTCTGATGGGGATGGCAAGGGAAAGTTTGGGATCTGGCTCCTTCAGTGCATTTAACACAATAGGGAAGTGTTGTTAGAGGCCAAAAGAATCAGGGTGATTTTGATTCCCATATATCAGCTGTGTGTAAACAGGAGTGATGTTAATACTGAACCTCATATCGCTCACACTTACTTATAGACAGGCTATGTCACAGATAGTTGAAGCCCTGGCAATGCATTCAATGATTCAGTTCTTTAACAATGTCCCTGCTCAATTCCACACACCCCACATGACTGATATACGCATGGAACACCTTACTGCTTTTATTGGAGTTGATAAATGCCATTTTATCATAGAAACCAATAAAACATTGTACAAATAAATGTCACAAGCTTTATTGTTGCTGGAGCTGCAACAGGCTTAAGAGGGCTACCCCTCTAAAGGTACTGGAAATGAATCAGTTGTATGAGGTTTTATCCTCCGTTGGGAGTTGCGTGTGGGTTGACATAACTCAATACAGTGTTAGCACTGTAAGATTATCATGTATCTAAAGTGCTTTATGGAAAATTTAAGCTTGAAAATAGTGCTCTGCAAAATGGAAATTCACTCTTTTGGATTTTCAAAAATTGTGCACCTGGGTTTTATTACTTTATTCCTTATTCCATTATGACCAGTTAACACCTCAGCCTTGAACATGTGACTTAGTTGTATATACGTGCGTGGTACACAATAAAAACATGGCCCTTGTGCTCATGTCCTACTCACAGGCTTCCCATAGGCATTATGCTGGCCCCTGTGAGCTCAGGATGCTGGGCTATATCCAGCAGGGTTCCTCTCACATTTTAGAGCAAGGTATTGGATGATGACTGGAGATTAGCAGAAGGAACGAATGGAAAAAGTTGGTCCTTAGGGTACCTGGCCAGGTAACGGTTCCAACACTTAGAATGAGATACCTGCACTCTTTGTGCAGCCTGATTTTATGGCTTTCACGGAGTCCACTTCCTTCACCTGAAAATCACAGAATTGTAGAATTGGGGCTCTCACAACCCTGAGATTAAGAGCCTTAAGAAACTCGATTTCAGAAATTATTAAAAGAATGGGGATGTGCTAAAGAGTATATGAAAAAACATTGTTCTGGAATAAGCATATCGGTATGTAATGAATGATGCTTTACAGGGTTAAAGAAAAAGAAAAAATGGTGTAAAAAGTACAACGATGGAAGTAATCTACATTAGACACAACAATACAGTAAGAGTAAAAAATCTGAGGTCTTAGAACAAAGGAAGGAAGTCAATATGTATATATGTATGTATTGACTAGATTAGAATGATGATATGGTTTTATTTGTAGATGTATTTTTTTTTGTTTTGTTTTTTGTTTTGTTTTCCTTTTTTGTATGTTCTGTTTTCCTTTTTTGTTTGTATAGTAGTATTTTGGATTAAATGTTTGTAATTTTTGTTATGATTTTGCGTTGAAAATAAAATATTTTTTTAAAAAAACTCGATTTCCAAGGCGGAGCCGAGAGTCTCGTTAAGCCCCATTAAGACCAGCAAGTTGATGCTGGCACAAAGTTTTGTGGGCTGGAGTCCACTTCATCAGCTGCATCGTTGGTCTTCAGGGCAGCCACCAAACTTTCTTAGCTGGCTTGTGTTTTCCATCAACTGTTCCACAGTCTCCGGAGCAGGTTCTCGGAAAGGAGCGCGCCGCGCCGTGGCGAAAGAAAGGCGCTCCGAAAGCTCAGTCTCGCCCCCACTACTCCTGGAGTGGCTTCCCGAAAAGCTTGTGCGCCTGCGCTCACCGCCCCCAGCTTTCACGTGAGGAGGCGCGCGGCCAATCGCCAGCGGCTTCGACACCGCGTCAGCCTGCGCGCCGAGGAGGGGGAGTTTCCCGGAGAGATTCCATTTGGAACGTTGAGTGTTCGTAAGTTCCATCAGCGGAACGTCGGGGCTCCTCCTCGGGAACCGACGGCCCGCCATGTGGCGGAGCAGCCGCTGCTTGCGGGCGCTGCTGAGGCTGAGGCCTTGGCAAGCCGCGGGAAGAGGAGGAAGCAGCGGGTTGTGTGAGGCTGCGGCGGCGGCTCCCCGCGTTCTCTCGCGCGCGGGCTCGCTGGGGTTGCGGAGATTCAGCGCGGCGGGCAGCTCGGAGCTGCGGGATGCAGAGGTGGAGCAAGGCTTGCAAGACGACGGGGCAGCCGGGCAAGAGCAGCGCATTCGCTCCGGTGCCGGAGAGGCTGCGGGTGCGTCTGGTAAGTAGCGCTCGGGGTCGCCGTCGCTGCTTGGATCGGGGCAGGCGGGTGGGCCTTGGACAGCTGTAACCTCCTCGCACGGTGGTGCAGGGTCAGGGAGCGAAAGGTCCCGGGGTTCAGCCCCCGGAATCTCCAGGCAGAGCTCGGAAAGGAAACCTTGGAGCGCCGCTGCCTGTTCGTGGGGGCATCGGTGCGTTGGAAGCACGGGTAGTTTTGGCGGTGCAAGCTGCTCTCCTATGATCAAGGGCCAGAACGACTGGCCGTCTGCAGGGGCAACCCTACTAAGCTTTTCGACGTGCGATGCGGATGGGTCCTCCTTTCATAGAGTTGGAAGGGGACCCGAGGGACATCTAATCAAGCCCCCTGCAGTGCAGGATTTACAGCATGATGCTGTTGCCCTAAGAAGAGTTTGTAGAAACTGCAGTGTGGACTTTCTGCTACATCACGGATGGAGAACATGCATGGCCCTCCAGATGCTGTTGAGCTCCAACCCCATCAGCCCCAGTCCCAACCCGTGGTCAGGCCTGATGGGAGTTGTAGTCCGAAAAGATCTGGACGGACACTGTTCTAAAGCCTTTGATACCCACCCTGTGCGTGGAAGTGGTGGCTATGTTCCATTAATACCCCTAGAGACTGTGCATATTTAATTTTATTTATAGGAATATATATTTACACACACACATACAAGCTCATTAAGAAAAACAAGATAAATACAGTACTTCAAAGCATGTAATATTTTCAAATGTTCTCCCCATAGCTAGTACAGGAGGAGAGGCAGCTAGCCAACTGCTTCCATACTTGTGTACAAGTAGAGGAGGCATCTCCAACCTGGTGCCCTCCAGACGTTGTGGACAACACCTCCTAAAAGCCCCAGCCAGCAAGGCCAATGACAAGGGATGAATTCCTTGGCTGCTTTTCACCAGAGCGCAGATCCAAAAGCATCATAGCTCACCAGACTTCACTTTCAAAGTCCTCTTCAGTGAGCTTTCAGATCCTTGCAAGCTCAGTGCACAGGGGGCGCTGAGTTTTAGCTGACACCCCAAAGGCGCTGTATATTACCAGGTCCTGTAGCTTCATCCACACTAGGTTTAGCGCCATTTCATGAAAAGCTGCTTTCTGTCTATTGAACCTCTGTAAGAATAGAAGCAGGTGGGACGCGGGTGGCGCTGTGGGTAAAAGCCTCAGCGCCTAGGGCTTGCCGATCGAAAGGTCGGCGGTTCGAATCCCCGCGGCGGGGTGCGCTCCCGTCGTTCGGTCCCAGCGCCTGCCAACCTAGCAGTTCGAAAGCATCCCCGGGTGCAAGTAGATAAATAGGGACCGCTTACTAGCGGGAAGGTAAACGGTGTTTCCGTGTGCGGCTCTGGCTTGCCAGAGCAGCGATGTCACGCTGGCCACGTGACCCAGAAGTGTCTCCGGACAGCGCTGGCCCCCGGCCTATAGAGTGAGATGGGCGCACAACCCTAGAGTCTGTCAAGACTGGCCCGTACGGGCAGGGGTACCTTTACCTTTACCTTTTAAGAATAGAAGCAAGTCAACCCAGATTTATTGGAAGGAAAGAGGGTATGATGTGTATGCAACTTGGCTATGATATATGATACCTTCCAGGGTATGATGTGTACGTAACCTGGAACATTGGTGTAACAATGGAAGAGAAGGGACTGAGAGCTGGAGTGCAACTTGAGAGGGAAAATTCCATTCCAGAATAAAATTCAAACAATTTGTAATTTAAGCAATCACAAGTTTCAAGGGGTGGTGGGAAAGTTTAAACTGTGAAACAATAGCACGTCTCTTGCTTGCAGCCTAGGGTACTTTTGCCTGCAGCCAATGAGGGATCTTGAATGCTTAGTTTCAGTAGTGAACCGTCAGCTGCTCTTGTTGGTAACACACAACACATTGAGCTAAATTGTAAATAAAATCTTTTGGGGATTATTCATTATTTGGGTCACCTCACTGATTACCTCAATTAGTCCCCTCAGAATAATAAGCAGTGAACTCTTTCCAGAGATTTCTGCATTTCCCCTCAGGAAATGCAGTTTGAAAGGATAAGGCAGATGTGCCTGGCAGCTTTTCTCTTCTTCAAATGTGACTCATTTAAAAGTGATATGCAGTAAGAAAAATTTTATTTATGTGGTGTTCCCATGCAGCATTCCCTGTGTTCAGTATCTTGTTTAAACTGGGTCATAGCCACTGTGCGTGTATTTGTGTGTAGTATGAACTCACCATAATTGCATCCAGGCAGAAAACATGCTGGCATGCTAACAACGTACGTTTAGATGAATTGATCCAGCTTAGAAGCAGCGTGTGCGAGATGCCACTTGTGAAAGTTTCTCTTGCACACTGGTGTCAAATTTAAAAATTGCCACAGAATAGAAATGGGTTGGAGATTATAATTCAGTTTGAGTTTGGCAAACCAAATAGTGGAACGGCATATTCCAAAATCCTAGTCCAGAGTTAACAGAGGCACTCTTTGTAAACCATAGGTAAAGGTAAAGGTACCCCTGCCCGTACGGGCCAGTCATGTCCGACTCTAGGGTTGTGCGCCCATCTCACTTAAGAGGCCGGGGGCCAGCGCTGTCCGGAGACACTTCCGGGTCACGTGGCCAGTGTGACGAAGCTGCTCTGGCGAGCCAGCACCAGCGCAGCACACGGAAACGCCGTTTACCTTCCCGCTATAAAGCGGTACCTATTTATCTACTTGCACTTAGGGGTGCTTTCGAACTGCTAGGTGGGCAGGAGCTGGGACCGAAAGACGGGAGCTCACCCCGCCGCGGGGATTCGAACCACCGACCTTGCGATCAGCAAGTCCTAGGCACTGAGGTTTTACCCACAGTGCCACCCGTGTCCCTTTGTAAACCATAGTTTGCAAATAAGGAACTAACCCCAGGAATGCATTTACCCCTTTCCTTCCTGCAATCTTTTTTTCTCTTCCACAGTTTCATTTTTATCATTCTGTTGTCTCTTTCAGATCATGTCTCTTCAGTATTCAGCATTGACTACATGGTATCGCTTCTGAGACAAGAAAATGCCAAGGACATTTGCGTTATTGAGTTGCCTCCAGAACTGAAATACAGCCATTATTTTATAATTGTCAGCGGGACATCTCCCAGGCACCTCCATGCCATGGCTCAGTACCTGGTCAAAATGGTAGGTCAACTGCTCTGCACTCTTCTTAGCTTGGAGAAGCTTATTAACAGGGATGGCTGGGTATATATAAAGTATACTTGCAAATTTGCCCATTAGGGGAAAAATAGTAGATACAGTGGTGCCTACAAGACGAAAAGAATCCGTTCCGCGAGTCTCTTCGTCTTGCGGTTTTTTCGTCTTGCGAAGCAAGCCCATTAGCGGCTTTGCGCTCTTAGCGGATCAGCTGATAAGCGGCTTAGCGGATCAGCTGTTAAGCGGCTTAGCGATCAGCTGTTAAGCGGCTTAGTGGATCAGCTGTTAAGCGGCTTAGCGATCAGCTGTTAAGCGGCTTAGTGGATCAGCTGTTAAGCGGCTTAGCGGATCAGCTGATAAGTGGCTTAGCGGCTTGGGGAAAAGGGGGGGGGAGGAAAAAACCCTGCAGGAACTCGCAAGACATTTTCGTCTTGCGAAGCAAGCCCATAGGAAATTCGTTTTGCGAAGCACCTCCAAAACGGAAAACCCTTTCGTCTAGCGGGTTTTCTGTCTTGCGAGGCATTCATCTTGCGGGTCACCACTGTAATAAAATATAAAGCCCTGAGTATACCAAAGATTTCTGAATTACAAAGGAGATAAATTGGCTTCAACTAAGAGTGGGATTCCAGGAAAAAAGGTGCCCCAACAGGAAATTTGAGGAATATGGGAAAGGCTGGAGGAAAATGCATGATTTATCCCATAGATGGGGGACCTCTGGCTCACCATGTTGCTGGACTGCAGCTCCTTGCCATTAGTGGCACTAATGTTGCTCTCAAATAGTTACTTTTCAGGGGTAGCAGGGGAATGGGACTCAGCTGACCAGGCAAGAGCTTTTCCTGCCTGCCTTTCCCCACCCTCCAGCCTTCATAAGGGAGCAGTTTCCAGAGGAGAAGCTGGGAGAGGAATGGGGCTCTATGCTGGCCACCAGGGAAGAGCTTGTTCCACCTGTCTTGACCTATCCTCCAGCCCTCAGAGCTTTCAGAAGGAAGTTGCTACCATGGCCATTCTGTGAATGTGTTTTGATGTAGTCTTCTGCTCAGTTCAGGTCATGGGGGCGGTGAGTGTGTGTGTGTGTGAATTCAGCAGTGCTTGTTTTGTTTTTGTTTGTTAACGTTAATATTTTGTGGATTATGAGTGTTGCAAATTTTACGTGACTTTTTGTGTGGTTGTGCTGTTTAACCTATTTTTTATGTTTTGTTAATAGTGTTTTGTAGAAGGTAGTTGTTTTATTGATTATTTAATGTAATTTATGTTGCAGTTGTGATGTTCTACTATGTTATTATTTATTATATGTGTGCCACTTTGTGACTTGTGAGAGTGAAAAGCAGCACAGAAATATAATAAATGATATGAAATGGCAGAAACCTAATAAAATAAAATAAATGATACTTTTTATTATTGTTACCCCAGCCACTCTAGGTGGCTTACAGCATATATAAAAACATAGTAAAACATCAAACATTAAAACAATTATTAAAACAATAATTATGACATTGGTTTCATTTACTGCCAATGTTGTATGAGGGCGATGTATAGCATAACACACTTGTGAGTGGCAGCAACCATTTAATGGGTTTAATAACTACTGATCTCTTGCCCATGAATGTGACTTTTTACACTGACTTGTTTTCTGTTTCAGTATAAGCATTTGAGGACAGACTGGGATCCCCATGTTGTAATTGAAGGGAAAGATAGCGAAGATTGGATTTGCATAGATTTTGGTAAATCATTTTGTTTCTAGTAATGAAGAGTCAGACTGGAGCTTGAGAGCGTCCTGGGTATAACTACAACTATCAGAATACATTTGGATAGAAGTGGCTTCTTGCACCCAAACATACAGTGGTGCTTTGTAAAGTACTCACAGCCTGAGCTGCAGTAGTTGCCCTTCCAATCTGCTTTGCTACAGACATGCTACATAAGCATGATACCTTCCCCTGAAGATCATAAATATATCGGTTTACTTTAATGAGAATTAAGGCATTTAAATGCCTTTTCAGTAGGACGAACAAGTTTGTTTCCTGCCCTTATTTAAGGGGAAATGAAAGTGGGTGGCTTGATTCAATCTTAAACTATAGTTTGGAACTGTAGAAGAAGAGGAAGTTGTGGCAGGCTTCAGGTTCTTACACTCCCCTCTTCCCATTCCACCAGTCCTGGTGTGTTCGTAGACTGAAAGCAGGCCAGTGTTGAGAGCTGGCATGGTCAGGCACCTGCCAAGGTTTCACATGCAGGGGGGCCATTGACAATAACCTGCTGGATTTGTTCATTACAACCACCACCCAGGTCCATGGGGAGCAGGGATGAGCAAGCAAGTAACTGGGGGAGGAATGCCAACAGCTGCCACTTTTGACAAGAAGTTTCCTCTTAGCTTATGGACAAAACTGTTTTAAATTAAGTAAATTGGTTCTCAAGTTTACATGTAACAGGAAATTGTGATTTGGTTAAGTGGAAGCTTTTATATTGCTTTTCTTGTGTGCAAAAGAGGGCAGGGGAAAGGGAGTGCTATCATCAACTCATCCCCAATTACAGCAAGCCTGTGAGATGCTTAGCTGGTGGGTTGATTAGAAGTTTTAGTGGGGTTATGTCCAACTCAAAACACACTTATCTGTAGGAGAACCGTATAGACCAAATTCACTGTTGCTTACTGTGACTCTTCTCATCCTCACAGGTAATATTGTGATCCATTTCATGTTGCCAGAGACACGCGAAATCTATGAACTGGAAAAGCTGTGGACGCTCCGATCTTATGATGATCAGTTGGCACAGATACTGCCAGAATCCTTGCCTGACGATTTCATAATTGGGTTAACTCCTGAACAGCAGTGATTGGTCTCCCAAGTAGGGGAAAGAACAGGTCTGCATACACCGCACAGCTGAGGCTTGGGTGTCAGTTCTTGGGAGATGCAGCAGGAAGAGAGGACAGAAGCCTCAATTGGAGACCTTGGTGGCAAACAGACTCATACAGAATACTCCTCAAGTGAATATGAAAAAGGAAACTTGGTTTATGTATTGCAAAAAGCCTATGTTGTGGGTATAAAGCAGAGATGAGATGACTTTTGAGAGCCTAGTAATAATTCCCCACCCCACCCCCGAATCTGGGTCTTTCTTACCAGTAGCTGCTGGTGGAACAAAAGTTGGTTGCAGTACTACATTATTGGCAACAGGTGAAAGTCTGTCTGAAAGGTACTTTGGTTAGTAATTTAGCCCAAAGTGGAAGGAATACATTCATTCTAAAATGGTTTCTGAGTTTTATTCATTAACCTGGGTACATGGTGCCTATTGCTATAGGTCAGGCATCGGCAAACTTGGCCCTCCAGATGTTTTGAGACGGCAATTTCCACCATCCCGGACTACTGGTCCTGTTAGATAGGGGTGATGGGAGTTGTAGTCCCAAAACATGGAGGGCTGAGTTTGCCTATGCCTGCTATAGGTGCTCCTATAACATCAGCTTGGGGGTAATGGTTGGCTGATCCATTTTCCTTTTCCAGAGGTTTATAAGAGCAAAAGGGAGCAGCCACAAGGGCCATTTGGATTTTTGTGCAGACCATTCTAATAGGCCCAGAAGAGTTTAGAAAGCTCAGTAGACCTACTACCACGTAGTCACCTGTCCGCAACAACAGAACTGCTTTGAGTTGTCCTACTCACCAACCGCCCTCATCCCATTCAACAGCCACCCAGAGCTGTACGGGTGTCCCCTTGTTACACAAACCACGAAAGTGAGCCACGTCTAACAAAACTGTCTCAACATGAATGTTGGAAGTACTACGACATACCCAAGTTTAGGGAACTCAAAGGTCAATCCAACTAATTTAGGCAGAAAAGTTGTGTGCTAGATGGCTAGTGGCCCAAGTGTGCTTATCCTAGCCCAGGCATCCCCAAACTTCGGGCCCTCCAGATGTTTTGGACTATAATTCCCAACATCCCTGACCACTGGTCCTGTTAGCAAGGAATCATGGGATGCCTGTCCTAGCCAGTATGAGTACAGGCTTTCAGACTAACATAAGGGCTAGTTTCCTCCTCTGCCATCACTTTAAATGGAAACGTGGAAAATTCAAGAAAGCATAAATGCTTCTATATTTTGAATATAAGCAGTATATACAATAGATGAAACAAATTAAAGGTAACTGGGAAGAAAACATTCTAGGATAGTGAATTTAAATTCATGATGAATAAAGGCTTGTTTAAAAGAACAGACAACCGGTTTTGAGCAATAAAACCTTGCTTCATTTCATCTATGGCAGGAAGGAAGAATGGACTGATCTAACGTCACAGGGTTGCTACAAATACAACTTAGATTCATTGCTTTCTCTGCACAGAAGGACTAACTTCCAGGCACACTGGTGAAGTCTTCCATTCTGTTCTAGAAAAATGTGGCAAACATTAATTTCATTAAAACAGTAAAAAAAAATGGTTTTCGAACACAGCTATTACTGCATGTAAGTGAAATGACTGTCACAAGAAAAAGTGCTCATAAAGCAATTGGAACTTTAAAATGGGAGTTCTTGACAACTAAGGCTTGCACCCAATGTAACCTCTCCTTCCATCTCAGCACTATGATGGCTAGGACTCCCCCCACCCCACCCCTTGTATTTGCACGCAGAAATGTATATTTCGCAATGTGCACCACTGGCATGTAACCCATGGAGGGTTAAAACAACACTTGGAAGTGGTCCTTAGGTAGACACCACTACCCAAGAGTGTGGACCCTTAGACCAGTGTTTCCCAACCACTGTTCCGCGGCACACTAGTGTGCCGCGAGATGTTGCCTGGTGTGCCGCGGGAAAAATAAAAAAATTGATTTATTTTTTTTAAAGTCAAATTTTCGATTGGGGCGCCGTCACTAGATGACCCCTGGGGTTCCCTCCCTCCCTCCCGCTCTGCGCCTCCCTCCTCCTCCTCCGGGGAGGCCCTTCCTGGCTCTCGGCCAAGGCTTGGCGGCTGCCACTCACTCACTCGCTCGCCCACCCGTCCCTCCATCCCTGCACCCAGCCTCTCCCCCTCCGTCCCCGGCGCGGGGGCTGCCGGGATCCGTAGTCCCCTCGCCCTTGGGCTCCGCGCCCGCGCGGGGTGCGCGAACTACGTTTCCCAGCGTGGCCTGGCGGGCTGGGCGTTTTGTTTGAAGCGCTCTTCTCCCGGCCATGGAATGAGCGCAGCGGCGGCGGGCGGGCGGGCAGGGGCTCTTCCGCGCAGACCCCGCGCAGCCTGCCTGTGCCCCCCGGAGATCGGGTGGCAGGATGGAGCCCGGGGATCCCCGCGGAGACGGAGCGGCGGAGGCGGAGGCTGCCCCCCAGGTAGGACTGCGTCGGGGTTTTTTTATTTTTGCAATGCTGCATCCGCGCCGGAGGGGACGCATCGGACCGCGGGGAGACCCCTTGGCGGGCGTGCAAGGCAATGCATGCGTGCAGGCGTTGCATGGAGTGCAGTGCAATGCAATGGCAACGCGGCGCCCTGCATGCATGCATGCAACTTCCACCGGCGCTCCGGACTTGGCAGGTGAGGGGGGTCCCCAGTGGGCGGCAGAGAGAGCCAGGAGGGCGAAGGGGAGCCGGGGGGGAGCAGCGCTGCTCCCCGAGCCGAGCCCAGGGGGAAACTTCGGCGTCGTTGCGCCGGGTGTTGGAAGCGGAGGCTGGTGGGGGCCCCTCACCAGCAAAACCTGGTCGCCTCTCATATATTTCGTGCATTGCATTCATCGCCCGCTTTCTCCTCCAAGGAGCTCCCGGGGGCGCGCGTGGTTCTCCCCGTGTTATCCTCGCAACAACAGCCCTGCGAGGTGGGTCAGGCGAGTGGCCCAAGGGAGCACCCAGGGATTGTCCTGGCCAGGTGGGGTGATTTGAACCCTGCTCTCTGCCTGGTCTTCGTCCTCATTTAGCCCCCACATGTGCATGACTGTGCATGACTGAGGTTTTTCCCCCTCGTCTTGGCTATGGTGTGAGTCTGTGCTGTTAATTAATGGGGTTCTGCCTTCGGAGAAGATGAGCCAGCCCTCAAGGAGGTGATTATGTAATTTGCTAGCAATTCGTGTCCCTCCCGGCGTGACGCTGCGCGCTGACGTCACGGGGCTGTAATGGTAGTGTGCCTCGAGATTTTTTTCATGAAACAAGTGTGCCTTTGCCCAAAAAAGGTTGGGAAACACTGCCTTAGACTATAGAGTGTGAACCCTAAAATGGCATTTGTTACCAAGAAGTGATTTGGGTGGGTGGGTGTCATTCTCCATTCTAGCTTTTTAAAGGATCACTAACTCAAAAATCAGTATGCAGCAACATGCAACCATATTGCAATAGTTCTGTCCTCTCATTATTGGTTTGCATGTTTCTGTTCATTAAACATTTGAAATACATTAATGTTTTGAAATATTTTACTTTGTCATGAGAGAATGGGCCCTGTTCTCTCTCTCCCCCTCTGATTTCTACCATTGGACTGGGGGTTTTGTTTCTCATTTCTACACCATTGCTGCTGTGCAAATTGTCCCTGCATGGGATACTTCACACACCACTTTCAAGGAAGTGCCAGGTGTGCTGTAAATTCTCTTTCAGAGAAATGTAACATTAGGGGAGAGTTAAAAGCAAGCAAGTATTTGACAGCCTTACTTTATATCTTGTTAATGAGGTGGCACATGGTATGGAACAAGTTTACATTGGGATAGAACTACCACTGTCTTCTAGATGTTGACATGCTATTGGTCTATATAATTGCATTCTGATGCTTGACATTTATTTGAACAGTGGCACTTAGCATATAAGTTTGTCGTTTTAACTACCCCACAGCACACTGATGACTGCAGAAACCCTGTGCATGTATGTCACTTTGCAGCTGTCTCCGTGTGCACCATTATACTGCATCTCATCGGCCATTAAAAATCAGTTCCTTCTTGTCATAGGCCACTGGAAGAGGACTCATCCCCATTATCTTACGACTGCTAAGTTTTAAGCTTGTATTGAAGGTCTTTGTACATGGAGAGTATTGGGTTGATGGGCAGTTTAAACTGCTCTCTTCAAGTCCAAATCCCCTAAGCAAATTTCAGAAGTTTGCAGCTATTCAGTGTTAACCAAGGTAGGCAAGGATGCCATATCACAGAACAACCAGTGCCTTCTCTGTAAGGTTGCAAAATAAGGCTAAGATCTCATTTCAACAACAAATCATTTAACTGCCATGTTGTGGAAGAAGGGAACACAAAAGCAGTCACATATGTCTGATAATAGGAGTTAAACTCTTTATTCCATTCAGAGGCATCTGGCAAGTGAAGCTGCATTGGGGGCACATTACAGAGGAGAAATGATCAATACTTTTGTGAATACTGAAGTCATTTACAGAATCACTTCCTACCTATTTCCAAGTACTCCAAATTACCAAGTCTCAATTGAAAGTAAAAGACATGATTTTACGATTCTAATGCCTAGAAGTTTAAGAAAAATTACAATATTTAAACCAGCAGATGTAAATGCAGCACTTATTTTGCAAAATAAAACTGTTATGGAAAACAAGTCAATCTTTCCCCAATGTTAAGAAAAGGATATTGAATTCAGACAACAAAAATTCACACTATGACCTTCTCTCAATTCTTCAGTAAATGTAAATTCATTGTAAGAAAAGTCTCCTAAAGATTAGGTTAAGTACTGTCCAAAATAGAAAAGAAACTTTCATTTTTCCCTTCTGCTAAACTACAACAAAGATTTGTGGTTTTTAAACCAATTAGTAAAGAAAAGATCCAGTAAAAAAAAGAGAGAGAGAGATCATTTTTCAAAAGTTATCTAACCTGTACAACAACGATCTTTGGGAAAATGATCTATTCTATGAAGAAATGCCTCTATTTTAATATCAATCTAAGAGGTAGATCAACAAAATGGTGAAACAAACTTTTTTTTTGTTTTTGCTAATTGTGCCCCTCAAATCAGTGCAGCGTAGCAGTTCCAATCCTCTCATGCACAGAAACATCACAAACAAAAGGGTCCGAGGTAATAGCAAGGCTCGTGTACACGGGCAGGCGCGTACGCACACAGCAGTCTTTATGCACCATGTGTTGCCACATTGTTAAAACTGAGGTAGACTGAAGTTTATTGTAGAAACTCGAATGCATATTACCACAATCATGATTCAAATTACATTCTGAAATTAAAAATAAAAATAAATTTGGTAAATTTCCTGCGATCCCTGCCTTTTGATAAGTTTTCTTCCTCCTTTTTTGTGGTCAGTTGCAGAATGTGCATAAATCTTGCTGTTATCTTATTTCATTAGCCAAGCCTGAGGTTGTATTCTTTTTATTTTATTTTTAAAAAACCTTCGAAGTGGCTTAGTGTGGCCCTTAGTAGCGGCTGGATATGTAAACTTAGCCTTTCAATACCTTTAAATGAGATCAAACAGCGTTCGATTCCTCCTCCTCCCCCCACCCAACATTATGGTAACTGAAAACGGTATGGAGCTATCTGCTGGAGGCGCAGAGAATCCACACCTCTGAACTTCTCCAGCAGATGAAGAATCCTACCAAACTGAAGATGAAGCTTGCTCTCTGAAACAGAACCGGCAAAGTACAAATGGGCTGCAAATGTTTAGGTGTAGCGTTAGTAGGTAGGTTGTGATGGTCAAAGGCACAAAGGGTTCATGCATTCAATCAAGTACAAAAAGAAAAAAAAAGTCCAGTCTCCAAAAGACCTTCTAAAATTTACCCCCCAAGCCCCAGCCTCTTGCCATCACTTCCTTGTTCTGTTCCCAACAAAAGTACCATCAAAAACTTTTTCATCCCATCGTAAAAGAAAAAATAATGGCATTGCTGCTATCAGAATGTTGGCATTTGTTTAAGTATCGTTTGAACATTCACTGATTCCCTACCCACCCCCACCCTAAATGATTGTGTTGACACCCTCAGATATAATCAAAGACTCTATTTTTCCATCTCACTCCTGTCAGCCAGCAGTTAGAAGCAATCTACTATATTTCTTTCCCTTCCCCCGCTCAATAAACTCTGTAGTGCTCCTGACTATTGGCTGATCAAATTTTTCTTTTTTTAAAAAAATAAAATGCTTAAGAACTATTAGCTTTATAAAGTATACAAAATACCAAAAAGAAAAAAAAGGAAAAAAGAAGAAGCAAAAAAGGAACAATTTCTTATTTGAGGTATTAAATGCCTGAGGTAGTTTAGTAAAATGCATATTTATCTTTTCATGCCCTGGCCAACACCAATGAACACTTCCCTTAGTT